CCATTCTTCTTCTGGTGGTGGACGATGACTTTCATGTCCTATTTTAAAAGATTTTAAATTGTGTTTGTTAGTGATGAATGCAAAATTTGTTTCCATTTAAATTGTAATTTACCCGAATATGCACCACGATAGCTGCCTCTTCCGCGTCCACGTCCACGATATCCACCTCTGGGAACATACGGTGGATAATAGCCACCACCCTCTTCATAATGGTGTGGTTCATGGTAATCATAATCTGGTCGACGATAGTGTTCAGTTTGTTCTTCATATGCACCAGTTGGTGGTTTCGGTTTAAATGCAGGTGTTGTTGGTGGATTTGGATCGGAGAAATCAATGCGCAAACGTCTATCTGGTCCACCTAATGCAAAACCTCTCATTTCTTTGACTGCCGCTTGAGCAGCCTCAATTGATTCATATAAAATGTATGCTTGAATGTCACCCTTTTGATATTCAATCTTCTTAATTACACCGAAACGATCAAATTCACGTTCAAGCTGTGTATGCGATGTCCATGAACCTAAGCCACCAACCCAGATGCGTGTGGTGGGCGTTGCTTTTCCATAACCAATTTTGCATTGGAACTTTCCAATGTATTGACCGGACAATTCAACTTTGGCACGATGAGCCATATCCAAATTTTGAAAACGAACGAATGCAAATGCATTGCCTGTTCCAGGTGCCGGACGTTTTATGTCGATATCTTCTAAAGTGCCATATTTACCGAAGATACGACGCAATTCTTCTTCCGAAATATTAATTTCAAGATTTCCAGCAAACAAAGTTCGAGTTGCCAATGGATCTTCCTCTGGTTGCACGTGATGCAAGTAATTCGGAAATTTATTTTCTTTTTTATTTTCGGGCACTGGATGACGCGGTATAATATGCCGTGGAACATAATGATGATGTGGTGGTGGATGCATATGAGGTGGAGGATGAGCATGATGCATTGGTGGTCCACGTGGCATATAAACTGCACAATATTTTCAAAAATAGTTTAACGAATGAAATTATTTTGTTTTTATTCTTTCACTATACTGTTCAACGGATGTTTTTTTTTATTTCCATTTTATACAATATAGATGATATGATACCACAAGTCGATAAATGACATTACTCGGTAAGCATGTGAATAATTTCAAATTTACCTGATTCATGATGCATTGGTGGCCGAAATTCTCTTGGATGATGCATCACATGCGGCGGTGGTCCACCGTAACGTTCATACATTTCAGGTGGCACACGACGACGATCGGGCACAGGTGATGCACCTGAAGATATTATTCAGATACAAAACATACTATTTAATATTGTGAAACCAATACATAAAACACATAATCAAACGCAAATCATAAAAAAAGGTTTAGGTTTTGTTTTATTTTCTCTGATCAATAAAACTTTATCGATTTTGTCAACAAAATTTTAATATTTACCATAGTAAGGTCGTTCATATTCCGGTGAAATGGATCGTTTGTATTCATATTTGCTACGTGATTCATAGACTGGTTCAACCAGCGCAACTTTATCGTATAGAACAATTCTTGGTTTGGCATGTTTTGCTTCTCGTGCATCTTCTGATGTGCGGAAACAAACATATGCAACACGTTCTTCAAGATCATGTGAAATGCGAATGCTAAAGTCGCCAAATTTCTTATATTCACGAAACAATGTTTCCTTGATAAATTCGTCACTTGCTTTTGGATGTAATGGACTGACACAAAGCACTTTGTACGGATGTCCACGTTCATGTGGCGGTTCACGCGGTACGCGAACATATTCTTCACGATGCGGTGATATATAACGTACACGCGGGCTTGGCGTTCGAGCCACCCGGCGTCGTAAACGATCTGGACTCATCCGTTCATCTGAACTATCATCGTATCGTCCCATACTTCCTGGTCTACCACGTTTTGTTCGTAATGGAGATTCGCGCGAAGCGCTACGTTTCATATTATGAATTTTAACCGTGATGCGATCTCTCTCCGCCGCTTCCCGAATACTACTCATGAGCTAAACAATGTACAATTTTTAATTAATATTCGTGTGGTGATGGTGATTATGATGATTTTGTTTGGTTGTTTTTTTTTTATTTTTTTATTTTTTTTGAACGGTGAATTGACAATAAACAATGCACAAAATGTTTTATGAAATGCTATTTATCGTTGGCTGCGTCTGGTATCGGCGATATAAACAATTAACACCACTTTTAAAAAATTCGGTCGATTATCTAAGAACATAAAAAGAAATGAAACACACGACATTAACTAAAAGAGCAATTTTATTCAATTCTCTCAACTATAGTTAAACTACGCACAACACATCACACACAATCACAGCCCCACGTCACTACGTCAAACTCATTTAACGATAGAAGGAACAAAACACTATTAGTTCTTTATTTATTATTCATTTAAAATAATTTCATATCAGATTGAAACATGTTTAATTAATGACGCGCCCATTCATTGCTATGAGGCTTTTTTTTTGTTCATTGGCCAAATACACTCTTTTACCATATGCACATATTAATATTGAAATGCATTCATCTATGTTTATTATATTTTCTTTTGTTTCATTTAATTTTTATAACACAATCATAAAAATGTCAATTAGTATATTTCGTTGAAATTTTCATTGGAAATTTGAAAAATAAAATAAATGTATTAGAAATGAAGATAAATAGATATAGAATTTTGAAATATTAAACCATCAAATTAAAATGGCTACCGCTTTGGTTTGAAGGTGAGACATGCCCAGCAAGTAAAAAAAAATCTTTTTTGATCTCTCTACGTACAAACACCATTGAAATGCATTTTTAATCGAGAGAACAAAAAAATAAGCGATATTGCTCGATATTATAAGTTTGCATTAAATCTAAAACTCACCACTTATAAAACAATCTGTATTGGAATTTATGTTCGTTTGTTTTTTAGTATTTTCCAGCACTTTTTTGAATAAATTGCACCTTTCTGCATAAAATACCGAACTTAAAGAAAAAGAATTTTAAACAATTTATCTTTTTTATGTATCAAATTCGATTCGTTGTGTGTACAATGAAAAGCAGACAAAAATGGCGTTTCGGATCGACTTTTACATTTTGCTTCAATCGTTTTTAGCAATATTACTGTCGCACAGAAACGTGCATGTGTAAGTGTGTGACATATGAACGATAAAAAATTAAGGCGTCTCAGTTCAATAGTTGTATAATTTTCCGATAGATGTGCCAATTCATGTTCGATCAAAGAAAAATTGTTCAAATTATGTTGAAATCGAAAATTTCCATATTTCTTGCGTTTACAACACAATAAGCATCTAAACAATTTTCTGGTGAATTTTTCTGCATTTTTTGCATTGGTTTTTATTCATATAATCAATGCAGCGAATTGGCATATCAGAATTTGCTATTGGCGAACAACTTCATTGTGAATCTTTGTTTGAAATTATTATTGTTTAAATTCATATGAAATGCATTGAATGAAAAAGACGGAAAAATTCTCTCAAATTCAAAAATGAAAAACTATCTCGTGAATTATGCAAGATGAAAAGATATCGTTGGCCGAAATGTTTGGATGGGAATGGTTGCAATAAGTAACTCAATCGTGTTAAGATTGTTGACAAAATGTTTAAGATAGCGGGAACCTTTTCAAACCATTTTTGAAGAACTGAAATTTTATCTAAACTTGAACAAAAATCTACTGCATTTGATTTTGCATTCGAATATTGATTTATTATTATTTGGTTTGGTCATTTCAAAATTTCAGGAAAGCGAATCAAATAAATCCATAAGCAATTTTTGTATCAAAGGCATCGCGAAAGCGATTCGCGACATATTGTTAACACTAGTTCCAAATGTAATAAAAAATCTTAAGTGGTTAAAAAAAGCCGATGATCAGAAAAACAAATAGATATAATTACGCGAATGGGAATCGAAAAAAAATTGGAGAAAAAATTGATAAAAAACCAATTTCATTGTATAAATTGCGTTTACAAAAGTGTATTTCTTTATGATTTTTGATAAAAAAAAGTGGATGGAAAACATTTTCATTGTTTTTTTATTAATTCATGCAGTTTCGCACAATAAATAAAATCAATAAATTTTGTTGATACTCAATTAGATAAAAAAAAATATTTCTATCTGATAAAAAGTTTCGACTTCAATATTCAAATCGAAGCGGGAGCATTCAATGCAGTGAAGTTGTATGTGAATCCATAAAAAAATATGAAAATCCATTGGCAGCGGCAACAACTTCATCATAAATCTTTGTTCGAAAAAAAATCGTGTGTCAAAAAGAAAATATCATTGTTTTGATTCAATAGTAAAAGGAGAGAAGAGTTCGGAAATTTTGTTTTTCTGCAATTAAAAGAGCCAACGACCAATTGAAAATCGTGTGAATTATCAACGAATAAAGGATGTCGGTGACCGAGATGATTGGATGGGATTTGCTGTATAAGCTCATCGCACAAGATTTAAAGACCGAAACGGACATAATAGTTGCAGTAACTCATTGGTATTTGATAAAACAGGCTGGTTTTCGGTGTTTAGGAACAGGCGATGAGGTACGAATAAGCTATTAATTTTACAAGCAAATCATTTACAATCAAATTATGATCAATATATGCATGAAATGATTTGAAATCTGTATTGAAAAAAAATTGCGTAGTTGATTACTATTTTCCACATCTATAGTATATACACACATACACACAATTTGTGTAATTAACGATATAATTTGTCAATCTATTTTTGTCTCTCAGAAAACATTACGTGACAACGAAGAGGATAACAGTACCGAAACCTTACCGGACAACTGGAATGAAAATAGCACTGCGTACTCCATAAGATATGTGCACGATCACAAAGTCTACATTTTATTGGGAACGGTTGCAAACGACACAATCATTCTAAATTTGTTGGTAAGTTATCTCTCTGGAGATATGGAGAATTAATCATTTCTAATCAGTTGTTTGGCGTATTTTCAAATATTGATTTTAATTCTCATTTTGTTCGTTTCAATTTCATTTTCAGAACGGTGAACCACTTAAAGTCACAAACACAGCACTTCATATCAAAGATACTGTGAAAGCGATGCATGGAAATTTATTAACACTAGTTCCAGACGTTAGAAATGTTTTAGGCCGTTTAAAACGTGAACTACTTGAGCCGGTTATAGCGTTTGACAACAATACAAAAACGTCAGAAACACAAACAATAACCCCAGAACCACCGCGTTGCTCAAGAGGAATTCCCGATCCCGACATTTTGCCAAACACAACACCAGACGTGCTACGAGTTCAACCAAGGTAATTTTTATAGAGTGCACAGTTTTTTTTTCTATGATTGCAATTTTAATCATTTATTGTGCATACGCTTTACAGAATTCTCGATCCTTTGAGAGACATTGGACGCGGCGACTTAGATCCATTGAATCGTGGCGGTGGTGGCATGTTATTCAATCCACCATTTAACAATCCAAATATAATGCAACCACAAGGCCCAGATCGAAATCGTTTTCCAGGTATCACATTCGTTTACGAAACTGCAACTTTGTTGATTGAACATGTGATTCAATTTTTTTTATTTTTTTAAATAGGTATTGTACCGGGTGCTCGATTCGATCCATTTGGACCAATGGATCCATTCAATAACACACGACGACCAGGACCAAATCCGGATCATTTACCGCCTCCCGGCTTTGAAGATATGTTCATGTAAATTCAGTTTATTTGTGGAACAACAAGGACATCATCAGCCGTAAAATTCTCCACATTTATAAATTAATGCAACGCCGAATGTTATTTTCTCGCCTCTTTTCGAAAAGATGATATAAAAAAAAAACACACACACAGAATTCTTTTAAACAAACAAACAACATTGTGGTCTCTAATTATTTATTTATTATTTTCTTACATTCGATAAAGCACATAATTTTTTTAAGAAAAAATGAATCAATGAAAAGTATTGCGAATGATGGATGCGTTTAAGTATCTAGAAAACTAAAAAATAGAACCAATGACTAGCAATTTTGAATTGACTTTTTTTAGTTTTCGCTTCGTAATAAGGCATTCACATGAACACCAATTTGATCGATGTACTCTCGAAATTCCATTGAAACAACCGATCGCCATTCCACCAGATTATCGTTAACATTTTGACTGTGTCTATCATCGCAATCGCTATAATGATTATTGAAAATCAAATTTTTGTTGAGCCTTGAATTGATCGAATTGGCATTCGATGCGACATTATTATTGCGTGTAAAAATGTAATTGCTTTTAAATAGAAAGATTTTATTGCTTTCCGAGCTGACATTCGAACTGATGAGCAAATTGTCCGATAGAATTTTCTTCATCTCATGCCGACATATGGGATTCGTGGGTATTTCCAATTTAACATCCGTTCCGTACGATGGATTCTTCAGCATTTGCAACAATGGTTGTGGCGTTTTTTGTAAATTTCCATTTGTATAAATGTAATCGCGTGGTGTAACAACAGCCGTATATTTAACAGAGTTTGATGTACGTAGTAGACAGTCCATTTCAATTAATTTACGTATGTTGGTTCGTTGGCTTGTATCAAATGGAAAATTAAATGGAAATGCATTGAGTTTGATGCCATGCGAAAAAAGTGTTTGTCTCAATGATAAATCAATTGAAGATGAATCATACACCAGAAATTCGTCAACACCGATCAATTGATGATGAATAAAATATTGCAATAGATTGAATTCCGTGAGAAATGGATTATTGTCAGTCTGATTTCTTGGCACTAAATTAACGCACAATGTCATCGTAAGCAGTTCATCAATATTTTTTCGCTTTAAATTTCGTACATGTATGCGATGCTTTGATTTCGAATTGAGATCAGTGAATATTGCTTGTTTTGGTATTCCGAAATTTTTGTTGACTTTGCACACAAACTTATAGACAATAAAATGTTCACCGTTGCCTGTGTCGTTCGGATTATCGCCAACTATTTCCTCGCGAACAAATACGAATTTTCCTTTTTGCGTTTTATTATCGCCATAATCGAGTTCACATTTAAAACTAACAATTGAATGCTTCAGTCCGATGGCAATGGTTATTAATTCACCGCCCGCCTTCAAATCATTTGGTTTTATCCAGAACGATGAATATGCATGAAATCCATTTCCAATGCGTTGCCATATCGGCAATGGTTCATTGAATTGATATGACGATTCTTGATAGAAATTCGTCTGATTCTCCAAGTGAATCAACGAAATTTCATCTTTACGACCAATGAAATTCACCACATCCAGTACATATTTCAATTGTTTATATTCATTGCGATACATCAATAACACAATAATACTGATGATTGTTATTAATACTAAACATAGCTGCGTATATTTTCGCATATTTACGTTAAATTATTGCTTCTTCGTCAAATCTTCGTTTTGCTCTCAATTCCTTGTGTATGTTCGGGATTTTTTTTTTCACACTAGAAAACTCAATGCACAATTGCACATCCTTTTTGCCGTTTGTGTATTTTTCTTATTTTCTTTCCCTTTTCATTTGACAGATAGACTCATTTTAGCGCATTGCTGTCGGCATAGACACAATCTGTGTGTTCTGTATTTATTGTCGGTTTTATTCTATCCATCGTTTCAAATGTACAAGAATCGAATTAAATACATTTTCTATTTGATTTTTTTTTTCTTCTTCAAATAAATTAAATGAGTGTTTGGTTTTTAATGACTTTGCCCAGCATGATTTCAACAAAAAAGAAAAAACAAACAGAATAAAATACAACTTATGTAATATTTCCTCATTTATGGTGTATGGTAATAACACTGTAATTGTTTAATGTCTCGTTTGAAGATACAGGTTTTATTTTTCGGAATTACTATTTTATGCGTTTTACACTATTTTATCATAAGTGTCGAAAAAAAGATATGCTGAGAGTCATTTTGATTTATATAATTTATATCAGCTTATTTCACAGAAATAATTTCAGAGTTAATAGTTCATTACCATGTCAAAATATCAAGGCGATTTAATCCCCACCGGCTATGGCATGTATCACAATTATATTTGTTTAAGTAAAATTCCTATTTAAATAAAATAATTTGCAATTGGCATAATTTAGTTGAAATCACGCAAAATTGTGTAGCTGTTCGAAATCTTTTTAAATAATTTAATAAAGTTCCAAAATGTTTGACGGTAATATTTTTGTTGATTTGGTAAATTTTGTATTTAAATTAATACAAATGGTGATGAAACTATCTGAACAACCGAATCCAGTTCAAATTGATGGAATTCCACCACCGAGCATGCCAATACCACATCTTGAGTAAGAGTTCAACGGGCTGATGTCCAATGTTTGTCCGGAGCTTGTTTCATTCCAACAATCAGAAAAGAATTTTCCCAAAGAAAAATATTCCAATGAAATTAAAATCCACAATTCAATTCATACATTTTCAAATTATCAATTCGACAAGATTTTTTTCATTATTTTTAAATTGAAATCGGAAAATGTTCAAAAACAAAAACAAAATAAATGTTACATTATTTAAAAAAAGATCAATGTTTTTTTTTATTTCGCGGTTTTCCATACTTTAGAGACTGTAAGTATTTAATTGACATGCAAAATGTTAAGTCCACATTGTGTGTATGTGTGTTTTAGAGTATTCTTGGTGTGTTGCGTACTTCGTTGGCGTGTTTTGACATTTTGAATACTTCATCATTTCACCGATGTATGTTTGCGTGACGTGTCAAGCGAAAAAGAAGTGAATTCAATGAAATATAATTCGGCCAACTGGATTATTTTGTGTTTTTGATCGTTCGAAGTTTTAGTTGAAAACAAAAATAATATTAATCAAATTTATTTGAATTTCGAGTGAAATAAGAAAAGATCAACGACATGCTCGTTAACTTTGAATCAAAATCGGCCCGTGTCAAAGGCATTTCATTTCATCCAAAACGACCGTGGATCTTAGCCAGGTATGTAAAATGATTTCCATAAATGAGCCACGTAACGGGCTATGATTTATTGATACATTTGCATTAAAATCAACACAGTGCATGCTAGAGTGCATGATAATTCAATTATCATTTTTCAAATTGCAGTTTGCATAGTGGTGTAATTCAACTATGGGACTATCGTATGTGTACATTGCTCGAAAAATTCGACGAACATGATGGTCCAGTTCGTGGTATTTGTTTTCACAACCAACAGCCGTTGTTCGTTTCCGGTGGTGATGATTTCAAAATCAAAGTAAGTTGAATGAAAATCAAAAGCAAGTCTAGTCAATATTCATTTCTTTCCTTTTTTATGTGTACGTATGAAGTTTTGGAATTACAAGAAACGTCGTTGCATCTTCACATTGCTTGGCCATTTAGATTATGTGCGTACCACATTTTTCCATCATGAATACCCATGGATTTTGAGTGCGTCCGATGATCAAACGATTCGTATATGGAATTGGCAATCGAGAACATGTATTTCAGTGTTGACTGGCCACAATCACTATGTTATGTGTGCCATGTTCCATCCGGTCGAAGATCAAATTGTGTCGGCTTCATTGGATCAAACAGTTCGCGTTTGGGATATCGCAGGTATTGCGAATAGAGATGGAATGAAAGGTAGGACCAAATTCGAACGAAACAAAATTAATCTTTTTCATACACTCACACATAAAACATACACGAAAAACATAAAACATACACGAAACGACAAAAGAAACCGAAAACAACGAGATGTTTTGAGATACAATACCATTATTTTAGTTAACAAATTCTAATTTTCAAGCTTTCTTCTTTACTCTACCTGTAAGCATTTATTATTGAGCGATAAATGGGCACGTGAAAATGACCACGCTCAACCTCCCGCTAACATAATTTTTAATCATTTGTTTTGTACATAAAAATTAACTAAAATCATATCGTACGATCCGGGATAGAAACTCAATGAACTTAATCGGGTTAGTGTATTCGATTTGAATGAATTTTTCCGCTGGAATTGAATTTATTGCTGAAGAAATGTGTGGAAGTGAAAATGGAAATGGCAAAATTTTATAAAAATTCGGGATTTTTTCCCCATCCATCACACTGTTATCACTTATATGGGTATAAATATGGTTTAGCAATTAAAATTTCCTAAAACGCTTTCATATAGTTATACATAAATGGTTCAAATTTGGTTCTATTACATTTATCTTAGAATTTAAGGCTAGTTTTAGTTTTTGTTGTTGCGGTTGTGTTTTTTTTCTCTCTTTCGATTAATTAATTTCATTTCATAAAATTTAAACAAGATACATGATGCGTAGCGGTAAATATGAAATGAAATTGGGACCGCCGAAGCAGTATTGTTTATTTTAATTTTTTAGCATTAATCATCAACCGATCATATTGTTGTGTTATTTGAAAAAAAAAAGTGGAAGAATTTTGTTTTTTTTTAATTGAATGTTAATGCATGATTTAGGTTTGCGTAAGAAGAATGTGGCACCGGGTCCAGGCGGATTAGAAGATTTACCAAAATTACAAGGAGCAACCGATTTGTTTGGTGTTGCTGATGCGGCCGTGAAGCATGTATTAGAAGGTCATGATCGAGGTGTTAATTGGGCCAGTTTCCATCCATCGTTGCCGCTTATTGTGTCTGGTGCCGATGATCGGCAAATCAAACTCTGGCGCATGAATGAATATAAAGCATGGGAAGTCGACACATTCCGTGGCCATTACAATAATGTGTCCAGTGTATTGTTCCATCCACGTCAAGAGCTTGTGATATCAAACGGCGAAGATAGAAGTATTCGCGTTTGGGATATGACAAAACGTCAATGTTTGCACACATTCCGACGAGAAAACGAACGGTATTGGATTCTTACGGCGCATCCATCATTAAATTTATTTGCGGCCGGTCATGATGGCGGTAAGCATTTTCACATTTTATTTAAGCACTTTTTGCGCAAAAGATTTACTCGAAAACATTTACAAATTTTTTGTTATTGTTGTTGTTAATCATTTCAGGTATGATTGTTTTCAAATTGGAACGTGAGCGTCCTGCATACGCTGTGCATGGAAATATTTTGTATTATGTAAAAGATCGTTTCTTGCGTAAATTGGATTTTACCACCACAAATCAATCGGTCGTGATGCAGCTGCGTGGCGGTTCAAAATCACCCGTACACAGTATGTCATATAATCCAGCTTTGAATGCAATTTTGATTTGTACGCGTACGGCAAATCTTGAAAATAGCACCTATGATCTGTACAGCATTCCAAAAGATTCGGATTCAAATCAACACAATGAAACCGAAAGTAAACGTTCGTCGGGAATAACAGCATTATGGGTGGCACGTAATCGATTCGCTGTACTTGATCGTAACAATCAATTGGTGGTGAAAAATTTCAAAAATGAAGTCACCAAAAAATGTATGTCACAGTGTGAAGATATTTTCTATGCTGGTACTGGCATGCTACTGTTGAAAGATGCTGATTCTGTGACATTGTTCGATGTACAACAGCTTCGTGTTATTGCCACAGTGAAAATAGCCAAATGTCGTTATGTTGTATGGTCGGCAGATATGTCACATGTTGCTCTATTGGCCAAACATACAGTCAGCATTTGTAGCCGTAATATGGATTTGTTGTGTTCAATTCATGAGAATACACGTGTTAAATCGGGCGCCTGGGACGATTCAGGTGTATTCATTTACACAACAAGCAATCATATCAAATATGCAATTACAAATGGTGATCACGGCATCATTCGAACATTGGACCTTCCGATTTATATTACACGTGTCAAAGGTACCGAAGTTTTCTGTTTGGATCGTGAATGCCGTACGCGTGTGCTCAACATCGATCCAACTGAATTCAAATTCAAATTGGCATTGATCAATCGCAAATACGAAGAAGTGTTGCATATGGTGCGCAATGCCCGTTTGGTTGGTCAAAGTATTATTGCCTACCTACAGCAAAAGGGTTATCCAGAAGTTGCTTTGCACTTTGTAAAAGATGAAAAGACACGATTCAGTCTGGCATTGGAATGTGGTAACATCGAAGTGGCCTTGGAAGCAGCCAAATCATTGGATGATAAAGATAGTTGGGATCGTTTGGGTCAAGCGGCATTAATGCAAGGAAACCACCAGGTCGTTGAAATGAGCTATCAACGCACCAAAAACTTTGACAAACTTTCATTCTTGTATTTGATTACTGGCAATTTGGAGAAATTGAAGAAAATGAATAAAATCGCTGAAATTCGAAAAGATGTTTCGGCACAATATCAAGGTGCTTTGCTATTGGGTGATGTTAAAGAGCGCATTTCGATTTTAAAGAATTGCGGACAAAATTCGTTGGCTTATTTGACAGCGGCCACAAATGGTTATGAGGACGAGGCAAAGGAATTGGCCGATGTCATAACCGCTGATGGGAAAGCGCTGCCAGAACCAAATACCAATGCGGTTTTGTTGAATCCACCGCTTCCAGTGCAACAAGCCGAAAGCAATTGGCCACTGTTGACTGTTACACGAGGTTTCTTTGAAGGTAATTTCTCTTAAATTCTTATCAACAAAAGAAAAACATATTAATACTCGATTTTTTTCTTCAAAAATCTATGACACAGGAGCAATGTTGTCACGTGGAGCACAAAATGTACACCAAGCATTGACAGCAGTTGAGTCAACAATTGATGAGGGAGCCGGCGATGGTTGGGGTGCCGATGCGGATATTGGTTTGGGTGACGACGAGGATGATGACATGAAAGATGCCCTTGAAACCGTGGAAGGTGACAATGAAGGGCCTGGATGGGATGTTGGCGATGAAGATCTCGATATTCCCGAAGAAATTGCGGCCAAAATGTCAGCGGTTAGCATTAGCAACGATGGAAATTTTGAAGCACCAAATCGTGGTCCAAGTTATACACAATATTGGGCAAATAATACAAACTTAGTTGCCGATCATTTGCGTGCCGGTTCACTTGAGTCCGCATTCCGTTTGCTCAATGATCAAGTCGGTGTTGTACAATTCGAGCCATTTAAAGAAATTTTCATGCAATTCTTCATTGGTGCACGCACTTCATATTCAGCATTGCCAAGCTTAGATCCATTGTTTGGGCATCCACAACGTAATTGGAAAGAAGCAAATGTTAAAAAAGCCCATCCAACTGTTTATGTAAAACTTAACGATTTAATTCAACGGCTACAGGCATGCTATCAATTAACAACAGCTGGAAAATTCACGGAGGCAATTAGTAAATTGCAGTCAATATTAGTTTCAATTCCATTGCTTGTGGTTGAAAATCGACAAGAAATTGCCGAAGCTCAACAGCTATTAAGTATTTGTCGTGAGTATGTGGTTGGCATCAAAATGGAAACGAATCGCAAAGGTTTGCCAAATGCAACGCTTGACGATAAGAAACGTCATTGTGAAATGGCCGCATATTTTTCACATTGTAATTTACAACCAGTCCATCAAATTTTAACACTGCGAACGGCATTGAATATGTTCTTCAAGTTAAAGAACTTTAAAACGGCCGCTTCATTTGCCCGACGATTACTTGAGCTCGGTCCAAGACCAGAAGTTGCGCAACAAGCTCGTAAAATTTTACAAGCATGCGAATTGAACCTCACCGACGAACACGCACTCGAATACGATGAACATAATCCATTCAATTTGTGTGCCAACACATTCAAACCGATTTACAAAGGTAAACCGGAAGAGAAATGCCCATTATGCGGTGCATCGTATCAACCAACATTCAAAGGAACATTGTGTAATGTATGCGAAGTCGCCGAAGTTGGCAAAGATGTAGTTGGACTTAGAATATCACCATTGCAGTTTAGATAAATATTAACCCAATCCAAATTTCTTTATTAATCAACCAATTTTACTTTGATAAGAAAAAAAAAACTATAATTAAAGCATTTATACGGTCATAAAAAATGTAACGACTGTCGGAAATTTAAGAGAAAATTTCGTTGTATTATTTCATCCTGTAAACGTTGATTTATAAATATCAAACAATCAATCAATAATTTAAAGTGGTTTCATTTCTTTAATGGCTGATAATTCAGAGGCTCAAATGGTAAAAATTGCAAACCTCATAAGGTCAGACTATGATCATTAATCAGATCAATGATTAAGATCAATGAATTATACAGAGTGATTAAAAAAAAACTACCTCTCTTTATTTCTGTTGATTACAAAAATATTCAACAGATTAATTCATCACTCAATTCAATTTGATATAGAGCAACGGATTTTCATTTATTTAACGAATAATTTCCAACAAAATTACTCGTGGCATGTTGTAAATGAACAGTTAAAATAAAGTACATGAATTTGTCATAATATTAAATATTTAGTTTAAAATTTATTTAAATCTAGATGAAAGACATTACAGAATTTAGCTGACATAAAGACGCCAAAAACCACCACAACGGCATCCGCTTGACCAACGTAATTCCCATGATCGCATGGCCGGTGTGCGTGCCACACTATTTAAACTACTGTAAGCACCGCATCTTGTGCATCGTCGAACGGCACCTGGCTTTTTCCCCAATTGTATGTGACGAATGGAATCGACAATATTTTCTGACATGCCACCTTCATTCGGTGCAACTTCGGAATTCAATTTCAAGCAATTCGGTTCTGTATTGTATTCAAACTGAAATAGAATCAAACAATTAACAATTAAATGATACTCAATAATCTTATCTAAAGTTTAAATATTGTCTTACACGTAGTGGAAGATTGCTATTTGTAAGATAAAACATAATTGGCGATGCTATACAGTACTGAGATGAGATAAGTTGAAGTTGTGGAATGAGCACTTGACTTGGCAGCAAGCAACATTCGTCTAGATGAGTGAAAATAAAAAGAAATGTGAAAATTGAAGCGTCGTTTGTTGAATAAAAATTGAAGCCACTAACCGAGTAACACTTCATCAGGTTCGTTTGGATTTAAAGTTAAACGTGTTAATAATTTATACAATGTGGCCAATACATCGAGGTTTTCGGCAGAACGTGAAAATACCGGCAAGCATTGTGATCGAACCAATCCCCACATGCGCATCACAACCAACAATTCCCGAATGCTATTCAATGCAACGATATCTTTGCTAATGTCATACTGAAAAAAAAAATCATTGAAATTGTAAGGAATTAGATGTATTTCTTAATTGAGGAAATGAAGACTTTAAAACAAGTACACATACACCGGTGCTCCGATTCATTCCACTCATGCCACGGCTATCGGGAAGTTTTGCCAAAATATTCAATGCCAAATCGGCAACCCATTGAATGAGTTGCTGTAAACTTTGCAGCGTTGAAGCTTCAACAGAAAATTCTTTTACTTCAAGTCCCAACAACAATCGATCAATATCAGCCGGTACCGATTCGGATAAAACCACTGCAAAAGGAAAACGACAATTTATGAGTACGAATAAAGAACGAAAAAAAAACTGTCTGCTGATGTATTTACTTGCTAGATTTTCAGCCGGTCCTTTATCATGACTTGACAGCACTGAAGGTCGTAGTAAACTTTTGAAACCAATTAAAATCGAGTGTAACATCAAAAATGATGTTAAATCATGTGCTTTCGGAAGACCAGACACCGAAAGTCGATACAAATTCATTTTCATGGCAAAGAAATTCACATAGAAATATTGCTGAACAAACGCTGGTTGACGCGTAAAATTTTCCGTCAAACGATCGATAATCGCGTCAAGTTGCTGTACTTTAAGTATTAAAAATACGTCGAGCGCATCATAACCGCCAACTAAACAATATTCAAGCAATGAAACCGCATAATTTATGGATAATTGGCCACCGGCCTGTTCTTGATGTGGATAGGAAACACGATAAGTATACAATTGACCTTCGGCATCGACAGCAAGTAATAAATGACCCATCCAGGTTATATCGTGCGCAACAATTGTACTATCTATTTTCGTTTGCTTTGATACGTGGTCGTTTTCATTGCGCCACACGCACGTAAGCGATGCATTTGTTAACTGGTTTTCAAACATGGAAAATATGTTAGGTTTTGAATAATTTAAATAAAATTGATTGCAATTCTTACTCGTTTCAAGGTGTCACGGTGCAAGCAATGTATTGTATTGTCGGCCATCGATACAAAAATATACGATGATGATCCATATTGAAATTTTGATGCACAAATATCAATAATTCGACTTGAATAACGATAATTTACTTGATGCGTCCAAACCTATACAGCCGTTTTAATCGATTCATTTATTAAAGTTATGATTTTCATTGATTCGAAGTAAAAAGAAAGTGAAACGGTCCATGAAAATACACTTACAAATGTTTTAAACACTTCGGTTTTATTCGGTTGCTGGAACAAGTGTTTGAAATGCGAATGGATTGGTGTCGCTTTTTCCATTAAACCCCATAATTCAATGAAACAACCGGATGGCGTTTTAGTACCGACCAACAATGAATCGGAATCTTCACTATATATCCATCTCAAATGAGTGATTGAAATGTCTAAAATTCATGAAAATAAGTAGAATATTCCATATCTCAATGTGAACGTAACCATTCTGAAAAACTTACCTGGTATATCTCTGGCTGCTCCGCCCGTTAGAAAGAAACTGGGCAAACTTTGGCTGGACAATATTAAGTTGTCCATTTGTTTCTTAATCGATACACGATAACAATGAATCATTGTGGACGCTGGATTATCAATTGTACCATTGGCCACAGCCAACATGAAATTTCCATCTTAAGAAACAAAATCAAATCACATCAAAAATCTCTACCAAAACTGAATTAGATTGAAGCTTACTTTTCGAATAGCAAATGTCGGCGATTGTAATAAAATTTCTTGTGCGTCCCAGACTTTGTGTAACCGGTGTCAATATTTGAGGTAAAGTTGGTGGACTAAGACTTGTGGCTAATTTATTAAGATTTGGCAAATCAGGCGGTATTAAGAATGCACCTAATAAACAAAAAAAAATGTGTTAATTTGAATGGCTATGCCTTGCAAATGGTCAAATTGACTTACCCAGCAAACCGGTTGCGGTAACAACTAAAACACCATCGGCTGGAACGCCACCAAATGATCGGCAACTTGGTAAAAATTTGGCTCGTTGAAATTTGTCCATATAGTTTGTAATATCTTTTTTATCCGGCTGAAGTACTAACTTTCGTCCATTATGAAAAAAAGCCGCTTTGATGATATGTTCGCCCGGTAAACGAACATGATAGTACTGAATCCATTCGGACAGAAGATTTTCTTTTTGTACAAATATTTGAATGTTACCGGATATATCACCAACCAAAAGATATTTGCCCAAAATATCCCAATCCAAAATTGAAATGGGGAATTTATTGGTGGTGACCCTGTTTGAACCGAAAGCAACATTGTTGTCAATTCCATGTCATCTTTGGCATTCAATTTATGTGATTATACCTGTATGTAAGCCATGGTGTATTTAAATCGGCCAAATAAACATAAAATCCGCTCAAATGGTTCCCATCGGTTTCATTAATATCTGAGTCTGTTGTGTAGGCAATCACGTTGCGAGTGGATACGGTGCACAATGTCGGCTTTCGATTTTTGTTATTATTGAAAAATCTTGATTTGAAATAAAAAAATATGGAAAACATACAAAAATCAATAGCGATCTATGTATTTGCATAAATATTGGAATTACTTGTGTACTTACGAGTCGAGTATTTGTTGATTATTTTGTGTGCCGGGTTTTTTATGAACAGCATATAGCATTTCCATTATGAATGGATTTAATTATGATTTAAAATATTTATAAGCACACTTGACATATCAGTTTATCGCGGAAAAATTTGGATAAAACTTTAACACTTCATTCAAAATTCAGTATAAAACATACGATAGATTGACAAAAAAAAACACACAAAACGAACAAATTTTATTTGTAACGTCGAGATTATTGAAATTTTTTGTTATTCTTTCAATGTTGCGCATTCAAGTTAAAAAAAAAAACTAATGAAATTGAATGAATGTGTACACATCGAACCGAAGACAAAACAATTAGCGTAGAAATGTCAAGCGGCTTTTATGTTTGACATTACTATGTTTATTCTTTTAGAAAGATAGAGATGAGTAGAGGGGGAGAGGGAGAAGGCAAAAGATGACAACTTCATGTGAAATCTTAAAAATGCCATAATTTGAAGATCTTCAATGGACCCGAGTTTCAATTGAAAATGAAAAGTTTTCAATGCACATCAAAAAAATGGAATTCTATTCAATTATTTAAAAATTGAAAATGATTCCCAATTATCTCATAACTGAATGCAAATCGATAAATAAACAATTATTGAATGTATGTTTTTATGGTAATACTGACCGTATTGCCATAAAATTTCACTTTTTTCTTGGACTGCTATAAAATGTTGTGTTGTGCATGTGTATGCGTGCTATTGGATCGAATGAGATGACATGTGAAGAATAGACAGAGATGAAAATAGTTGTGCGTTGTGTGTATGCGCTGTAATCATTTGGTAACGTATACTATACGATTCACCAATACAAATGCGCACCATTGAACAGTGCATTTTCTCGATCCAGACTCGAAAATACTTTGACTCATTCACAACAGTTTGAAATTGGCGCTGATTAAAAGTGGCAGTGGGCTTTTATACAAAGAAGAGAGACACACGATATATATATACACACATTCTGTGTACTGAGAGCTGTACGCTGTGTATTATTTATTGTAATATTTTTAGTTTTATTTCAAAATGGCGACCAGTGACGATGAACCAATGGCTCTTTATGAAGTTTTTCAAAATTGTTTCAATAAAATCGCAAATAAACAACCTGGTGAGTACAAATTGTAAAATTTTTAACACATGTGCATTACGGACAATCAAAAATTAAAACCAAGTGGCGTACATTTATTGAGAATTTTTTAAATCAAGTGAGCGTATGTGAGTCTACTGTTTTGCTGAAAACAACTGAGAGAGGCGAGATAGTTTGTTACAATACGGGATGTATACAGTCAAAGCGATGCATTTTAACAATATATATGCACAAAAAATATTGAAAATAAAAGCGAAAAAAAACGAAAAGAAAAACATGCACGCAAGAATGAAAATATGAAGATTCAAAGAATGCAAAAAAAAAAAAATGAAATGAAAAATATTGCATAAAACATACCGAATCGGGGAAACGAGCAAATGTAATGAGCAAAAAAAAAAACAATAAATCCATTCTAGATAACTCAAACGAAAACAAAATCAAATGCTGCACAATATAAATACGAACGGGACGATTAAGTTTATGCAAAGTTTTCACAGTCGGCGACTACGACGATGATGAATTACACAAAAAATACGGCACAAGTCAAAACCATTTTAATGAAATAAAAACAAAGTGATGCAAAACAAAACAATTCTCTTCTAATTATGTTTGCGCGAGAGAAAAAAAATCGCAAAATAAACAATAAACATTGGTCATGTATGTGCTTTTAAATCACAATAATAAAAGAAACGTTCTGAGATGAATGCAAAATGCAATCGGAAAAGTTGTTCATATTAAATAAAAAAAATACGAATAAATAAAAACCAAAACAAAGCGAGAAAATTGAGTTTAATGCAGTTGAAAAAAAACCAACAAAGATGTCAATGATTGAATGAATCGCTCTTATCAAATGTTTGAAATGAAATTAAACAAAATAAAAAAAACGATGCTATCAATTGTTATTGTATGCTTCATGCGAGAAAGATGAAAATTCCGAAAGAACAATCCGCTTCTTTTTTCTCGCAAAAGACGAAAACGAAAATGATTCCAATGTATGCAATGTTCGCTTCGTGAAAATCGGTCTCGATTCATCTTATTATAACAAATGCACACAAATTTTTATCGTGATATTGACGCTTGCGTACAATTTTTGTATATGCCAGAGAAATTTTGATGATGAGGATGATGACGATGATGATGATCGGTGATGCCGTTGACATATTCGAATGCTGAACTCTCTCAATGAAAACTTACACCACTTCCACCAATCATATAAATACACACAATCGAAAATCGAAAACATTTTGACATGTTTATGTAAAACATAGTGTGAATTATAAGCAATGTTTCGCAAGAATATAAACTAGAAAACGACAATAAAAAAAACTGAACATGAAGAAGAAGAAGTAAAAAAAAACAATTTCAAAAAGAAATTAAATTCCATAATAAATTATGAGTTCATTCTTTTTTCTGTTAATTATGGATTCTTACCAATGAGAAAAGAACAACAACAAAATTGGAAAAAGAAGTAAAGAACGATAGAAAATATTACATTTACCGACGACATTACGAATATATTAGTATTTATTCAATTCTGCATATGCATGAGAAAGAGAGAGAGCGCGCGCGAGAAACAAAGCAAATTGATAGAATCGAACAAATATGCGATGATAAATTTATCAGAAATTGAAGTGATGTTACATGAAATTTCTTAAATTTTTCATTCAAAAGAAACCATTTTATTTTCCATTGTTTTGAATGACACACTAGATTCATAACTATTTGCCGAGTTTAACCAATGAACGCCATTCAAATGTTCTTTGTTCCATTGCAAGAATTGTAAAAGGATAACAACAACCAAAAAAAATGTTTCTTTTTCACGGTTGCTTTCTGTCGCCGTCGTCATCATCTTTGCCATCATCAAATGATACACATAAAATAACGCGATCTCAGTGCACAAAAGACACTAAAACGAAGCCCATCACGCGAAATATAAAGTTTGATTCCACTCGCTTCCATTCAAGTGAATGAATTTATATTTCAAGTGCATCGCACATTGCATTTAATATACGACCCAGTTAAAAATGATTTGTCAAGCGTATTTCATACAAGTCAAAAAGCAAAAAGTGTGTATCCGGTAAAGGCAGGAATAAAAATTGTATTTTGGCTGGTGTTGAAAATCAATGTGCGTTGTCTATATATGCGAACTCTGTGTTTACCAATACACAAGAGAAGAAAAAAAAACTAGCGAGAGAAAGAGAAAAGGAAGAAAACACAAGGAAAGAGCACGAGACGAAGCGCGCAACATGAGTACCGAGAGAGCACTTCGATGTTATTTATGAATTTAGTCTTTTGTAAACGAAGTGGAGAAAAAAACCCGAAGAAAATAAGAAAAAAATACCCAAGAAAAGAGGAAACTTAATCACTCTCGTCTCACTCATTCGACTCATACAATGTTGAAATCGAAACGAAAAACCATTTTCATCTGCACACTCTCGATTCGATGCGAGAGCTAAACCGGCACATACAGCATTCGCTGGAGTCAAATCATATACATGCACATACACAACCACACACACACACAACATATATAAATATAAAATAATATATGTTCGAATTCCTGCAACACAAAACGAAAAACGCATTTTGTATCCCAATATCAATACAGCATGCAGCACAACTCAATATACAATTCATAGTTAGCCGATATACCATGGATTTTCTTTTGAATGTTACAATTTATTTTCTCTCTCCTCTCTACTTCTCGCTTCGTCTTGTGTTGACCTTACCGTTAAGTTAATAAACAATGCTTTCGGAGCAATCTTTTTGCCACCTGCTCTTTTCTGGGTACGTGTCTCTGGTTCTTTTATGTATATATGCGTATATTTTTTTTTTGCTTTTTTCTGCTTCTTCATCATCATCGTCGACATTATAATTTGGTGCTCTTCAATACCAAGCCAACTCGATCATTTGAATTATTGTTTTCTCGCTCTGGATTACTGAGAAATCAGAAAAAAATATTGAAAAAAAAATTCATGCCTTGAAATTGAATTGTCTCCATTGAAACAGCCTCGAGTCGCCACATATTCACATCCATTTGATAAAAATTTTTGACGCGTTTATGCAATGGTTATTCAAATTTGACGCGATTTTAACTGCTGGCACAGTCTAATCACTTTATGGCTTGAGGCTCATGTTGTTTTCATTCACCGATTAATAATATGTTAATTTAATTATTTCGCACGTTTGCATCGTTTTGACAAATACTGTTTGATTTAAGTTCGTGTCACTTGTTCGGCGCATTGAATGCAAAGGTAAACCAAAGCTTTCGGCAAACCAAAACTTCTCTCAGCCCCATTGATGGCAATTATTTGAATGATAATTGCGACTAAAGAGATGTGCCTCTCATTCCCTGTGTGTACACGAGTGTGAGTGTGTGCTTGCAAAAGCGATGCAGGCAAACCGTTTCGAGGAAGAACGCGAAGAAATAAACAGGGGAAGAACAAGACAAAAACATCAATATTAGATCGTTGACCCAGCAGCAGCGGTAGCAGCTTGGCCAATGACTGAATTCGCTAGATTGAATTATGGGTTATTATATGACGTTTTTTCCCTTCGTTCATTCGTTTTGTTTTCGTACTTCTGTGGCCGCTGCAACCGATCGCAAATCGAATTTTATAGTTGTCCTTTTTTTTCGTTTTTGCCATTGTGCGCGCATCATTTTCGGCAATTGAGATTTAAGCATGGCCATGCATGTAATGAGCTACTTTTACATTCCATTGCATGTTCTTCGATCATGTAATTGCAATTTTGAGCGTATATAAATCAAAGCATACAGCTGGGTGTATATGTGTTCTGTTCAAAAATTTGGGGCACATGGCAGCTTGCTTCTGCTATTTAGCAACAAATAAAAAAAATCAACATTGTTACCACGTTTGCATTTCACACAATCAAAAGCTCGGAGCTGAGACATTAAACTCAGCGTTGAAAGAGTTTTTTTTTTTTTGCATTCGCATAGTAGAAAAATTTCGCTTCCAATTTGGTGGCGGTAAACAAATTTTGTGTTTGCACTTCATCAATTTCACGCATTCGGGCACAATTCAATTTTCCATATGAATCGCATTTTCATTCTTTGCAATGAGTTGAATGAACAAAACTGAACGGAG